TTAAAACTGGACTCCTGTGAATGGGACTACTCTGAAGCATCTGCATAACCTATAATCCCTGAAAAAAGGCAGTAGAGGAAGAACTTTTTATGCTTTCAGTACTTGAGGGTCTTCATGGAGGAGGGAAAACAAAAAGATGTCATCTATTTCATTTTTCATTTACATTAAGTGGGTATTCTAGAAGTGACCGCAACTGACTGAAAATGTTTTGCTATTCTGTTGGGGAAAGGGTGGAAAACATAGGTATTGAAAGAATTTCTCAACTTTCCATTAAAAAAAGTGAAATGAACCTAATTGATAACATGCTTTTTCTGCATTTGAATTGATGGAATATTAATGCATATTCACCTTAATTAACACTGTGTCTGCAGTTTACTCGGTTTACGACAAAAATCTTTCTCTGGTCTGGACATAGTGGCTGGACTGCCTCTATGTCATCTCTGAGTGATCTGGGGTTCCTTACAGCACTAAAATTTGGATAAAGTAGTCCAGGTGGCCTATAAACGACTGAGAAGGTAGACACAGTCAGGATCTTGGTGGCCACAGTGGAACACCAAACAAAATGGTTTGAATCAAAACACCATCCCAATGTGAAATATTATTTATTATGCTACAGCTCAAGCAAGATGTTTAGACATTTCCAAACCCCTACCTTATTTCTCATTTGCATGGATGAAAACTTAGTGTCTTGTTTTCAGGATGTGAGGTGTTGAGAAGCATTTTAACATATTATGATATTAAATACATAATATCATAATTTCTAGTCAGATGCAAAACCCAGGTTTTACCAGCTACTAACAGCCTCTGGAGAGACTCAGGCTGATGAGGTTTGTTATGTCAAACAGCTGTAGATGAAAAATACTAAAAACACTTGAAAATAATCAAATAATACAAATGTAAAACTACAAATCTGAGACAAGCACATATTTTTATGCTATTATTTCCATATGATTTTTATGTGATATTAAATACCATTAAATTGTCACACTCTTAGCAAAGTCAAATAGGAAGATACTAATCTGCAGATTTATATTTCAGACTGTAAAGAAATAAAAGAACCACAGTAGATAGTTAACATGAACAAAGTTGCGAAGGTTTTCTTTTTTTTAATGTGAAACTGATTAACTGAAAAGAAAGTAATTTATCAAGATCACCCATCAATTTAAGGTGAACAGTTCACATAAATGACAATAACTGTAACCCCTTTTCTTGCGTATGAATTATCTCAGAGCAGGCTGTGGAATTTTGAGGTGTACCTGTAATTAAATATATATGCTCATCAATTCTAAATCTGTAGTTTATTTGCAAGAGCTTTATATACAAATTCAATATTCAAAATTCAAGCTGCTTGATTAGGTCAGTAGGCACATAATATGTTTCTACCTTGAAGCTTGATTCTTCATACCAGAAATCTGCTATGAATCATTCAAAATTTGCTTTTTGCAAATACTCTTCAATAATACGCTCAAAATTAATCAAACATTATTGTTAGTACCTCTAGTCAGCAGAATAGTTACAGAAAGCACCGTTCAAAGTACTGTCTATGTACCTTTCCAGTGAAAGGAAACATTGTTGCTAACTTGAATTTAACAGCATAAAAGAACAAACTATATTTTTTTGCTCAATTTTTGAAAGAAGAATGATATTAACATACCTGTAATATATGTAATTCTCTTAAATAAATATATCGGTAATTTATATTGCTACTCCCACTTTTTTTTTTTTCTAACAAAAACCCATTCTTCATCCAAATTTTAAATACAAAATAAAAGTATATTTACTTGTGGAGGTTGGATGTATAATATTTATCTGAATTAGTCTGATCCCTAATTTGGAAGATACATTTTTCAGCTGCTAAGCTATACATTAACATGGGAAGCTGCTCACCTAAGCTTTTTTTTTTTCAGTGCTACAGAAAATACTAACAAAACAATTAAACGACTGCTTCAATGAGAGCTGCACTGCATGCAGATAATAAATATGTTTTCTTATATCATTTTCTGAGTTTCTTTCCTTTTACTGGCAGGTTTACAGAACTGCAAAAGCCATGAAAACTCAACGCTAACTTAAAAGTGCAACCTCTGTTACTTTAACATCTTTGTACTGTGTATCAAGGCATCTTTTGCATTAGATAATGAAATGGAGATGGGGCAGAAAACACACCTCTGAAAGACTTTCTACACAAAAGGATGAACACATAGTTCTTTGCACAAAGCATTAGAAAATACTGTGATATTTTATTATTAAAAATGCTGCTGAAAAGTTTATACATATGTGTCCAGCCATATATATCTTCTATCATTACTTAAGGCAAAAAAAAAAAGAAAATTGCAAAATAATAACAGAAGAAACCATTAAACCCTGTGTGCCTCTTAAGGTCAAGAGTATAAGCCTGGGAAAGTACTTTTGTTTTTCTTTTACAGTTTGCAAAGTATATTCTGATATCATTATTATAGAATTCTATGAAGACTGTATAAAGCTGTTCCATCTACAAATCATACATCATTCCAGATGTATCAAATTATTAAATCAACTCAATTGTAATTGCTTTTCAAAGCTAAAATCATTCACTTACAGGAACCTTTTTTTTTTTACCCAAATGTCACAAGCCTGATGCAGTACTGTACATATTCCTAGCAGAAAACAATTTGAAGTACTAAACAAATACTGTAATTCACATTACAAACATACCCGACTGATTATGATGCCAAGCCTCATTACTTTTTTTTCCCTTTTATTTTTTTTTTCCCTTTTTTTTAAGACATGAACTGGTGCATCTCAGCTGAGGCATTACATAGATGGTGAAAATGGGCTACTATGGAGTCAGGATTAATCAATATTATGTGATGGATCAGTGGAAAAATAAACAAACGAAACAGTTTTCCATTTGCTACAGTTGTACTTTGGGGTTGTTGCTTCATCACATTCCAACCTGAGCATCCAGGTCAGGTTTATAGCACATTTATGACAGATAAAGGATTATATCAGCCACATGTTGCATTTTTATCATGTAATTAACTTTTTATTTCTTCCCTTCACAATCTGTTTTACTGCCTGCTACAACAAGGAGTTGTGCAGATGAACAGACCTCAGTGAATTGGTGATTACCTTGTCTTTGATTTTATTTGTAGGGGTGACTATTCCAAGACATTGTATTAGAAAACAAAAAGCATAGAAAACAAGAAGAGGTACAAGGCATCTTGTGTTAGATACTTATGGGACATATGATATTGATGCAGCTTAGTTGTTCATTAATAATAGAAAATACATCTGGGATAATCATATTCAAGTGGAGACCAATTCGTTCAAGTATCTTTGGTTACTATCTCTCAATGATGGAGTAACTTTCAAAGACAATATATAAAGCAATCTTCATCTGTGAGAACTTATTTCTAGCTTTTCATATTTGAATCAGTTGTTTTAATCAAAGTGCTAAGTTCCTTATTTTTATACCTCTGCTTTCCTGCCTCTGCAAAGGAAGGACAGAAGGGAATAATCAGCTATGAATTTTGCCCTTCCTGAGTGATGCTTGCTGGGATTTTCATTTTTGTTCAGATGAAGAACAGCTGATGATGTCTCTGCTTCTCTCTCAATGTTCACTGACTATGGGACTGCTGTGTGTGATAAATCAGAAGAAAAAGTATTTTCTGACAGGTACACTTTCAAGCACAAAACAGGATACTGGACAGAGAAGTTCTTTGCACACTAATCACTTCTGAATGCTTTAAAAACCAGCCAGCCAAACAACTCACCATTTCCCCAAATTGTGGTTTTGTTTCACTTAGCAAAGCTAAGAAGGTGCTTTCTCAGCTGAGATTTTGCTGCAACTGCTGGTGAATATAGAGCTAGCTTTCCTCGGAAAAGGCTGACCAAAACACAGGCTTTCTTTGCTTTTGTCAGGGCACAAAACTCTTCCTAATGTATCACAATAACCAAGAACTACAAACTGGACTCTGAATATGTATTATTGGATGTTTCTTGGTTCAGTCCAACAAGCTTAAAATAGTAATTATTTTCTCTTGTAGGTTTTTTTTTCTCCATTTTCCAATCCATTGCTGTGTTGCAATTTAACAAAGGCTAACACAAAATTAAATTATAGGAAAAAAAAGTTTCAGAAAAGAACAACAATCTCCTATGAATACTTTAACATGCACTAGTGTAACCTGTAAGAGAAAATACACAGGTCACACAGACAACTGTATCCTCTGCATGACACCATGGCCTCATATAAATGAAACATGTTAGAACAAACTCATGGTTTTTCTTTACCACTAGTAATTAAGAAGAAATTCCTCCTTTGGGCTTGGAGGAAACAGAGGTGATATGACTAATGTATATACACATAGGTCACAACCAAATGCACAATCTTTCTAAAAGCTCTTTTCAAACTGAAAACATCAATAAAAGCTGTTTTTGTTTTTTTTTTGTTTTTAAACTCACAGCTATGTACAATTTTACAAAGTTTCTTTAAATATAGTTCATGCTGGCAAGTCATCTCTTTGCACAGAACTATACGTATTTTACTGCATAGTCAGTCCTCCTCTTTTTTTTTTGTTTTTGTTTTTAATAATAAAATTCTATTTCCCCAATCTGGATTACAGGTTCATATGCTGGGTAAAAGCCCATGGTGATGTCTTTGTTTTAGCAAGGGCCATTCATGGTATGGCACATAATTTATTATTTTATTAAAAAAAAAAAAAAATCAAAACACCTGTACAGTCACTGGCTCTGCATTCCAGAAGACTCTGCTTTGCTTGTTACACTCAGAACACCATTTTAAGTGACTTCTTCTGGCCTCAACTTTCAATCAAATTGGCTGAGATCTTAAAGCAGTATCATAACAGCAATGTACACTTTTCACATTTCACAGGGTTTGTAGTTGATCTTTAACATCAGTGAGTTTCTGTGGGAAGGATCAGTAAGAAAATAATGACTGTCCTTCTCTTTAACTTGTTTTTACTTTAGATTTTGACAAGGTGTTCAAAGGATGGTATTATAACTTTTTCCTCTTCTTTCTTTGTTTTTTCTTTCTTCCAAGTGGCTTGTAAGGGTAGAGGGGGAAGGGCTGAGCTATACCCTAGTGGTTGAATGTCCATGGGGCAAATTTGTACTGTTTTGTCCTCCACTAAAGGTGTTGAAAGTATGCAAAGGCTGCATCCCTGTTAGTGTGTTTGGAATCATGGTTATGGTATTGGGTGTCATTAACGGGATATCATCTGGGGACCTTCTCAAAGTAAGCGTGTAGTCAGGTGGACAGGTTAGTCTCAGTGTGTCATGGGCCTGCAACGATTCACATTCATGGTCATGTTCTAGCTGTTTCATTTGCAATGACATAATCTCTTCATTTTGTATGTGTGCTATATCGTTAGTTGTGTTCCTCTGGGGGCTAGGGCGCCTGTGAGTCTCATGACGTCTCTTGTCCTTCTTGTAATATAATGCAGCAAAAGCTAAAATATTGAGGAAAAGCAAGGATGCCCCCACAGCAATGGTGACACTCAGCTCTGTGGAGTAATCTCTCTTGTTTTCTATGAGAACTGTCGTATCCTCTGGAGCTGTTTTATGGGTGTCTTTTGAATGCTTGGGATTGTTGGCAGGTGTCATTGCTGGGCGTTTGGTGGCTGGCCACAATTTACCAGGAGAACGTCGTGTCACATAAGGAAATGATGTCATGTCAGGAGGGGGGACTTTAGTTGTTGTGGAAACATACTGAAATATTTCATTCAGGTTGTGAAGGTGTGGTACGAGCTCCAACCAGAATGCAACTTTTGTTGCTCGGTAGTGGTCACGAACTCGGGGTTTCAGACCGATATGCAGGTAAAGCTGATCTTTAGGATTGTATTTCGACCAGGCCACTTCTTCAAAGCGGTTGGGTTTTGTGTGGATGAACTTTGTGTCCTGTGGAACAGGCTGGTTTGGATCTCTACAGAAATAAAAACAGGCAATATTATACTCTTTAAAAAAACTAAACCAAAAGCAAACCCCCCCAAACCCTCCATCTTTCAGTTATTGTTTTACTTGATAATTAACGCAACCTAAAACCAGAATCTAAAAGGCCTCACTAACGTAAAAAGTTAATAAACAAACAAAAGAAAAATTACTTACTGTACAGTGCATACCAGACACTATAATACTTTTTTATACTAAAATGGAGAAAGGGCTGTGTGTCAGCTCACAAAAGCTCATCTGAAGTTCTATGTTTCAGTATCAATCTCTGAAGATGTCTTAGAGAGGTACTACCTTTATCCATAGCAAAGGTGTGGGTTCAGCTCTTCTCAAGGTTTGACATTAATTTTTCTCACTTAAGGTACCACTACTTCCACTGCTGTAAGTAGTAAATATGGGCATCTAATCCCTATGGCAATGTTGGAAGTCCATGTGACTGTAAGTATTTACACTAGATGCGTATATTACTTAAAAAAATTCAAACCATGAAGTAGCAGGGCTAATACATAACTGGGAACTATTTATCTTTGTGTTCCTTTACTGAATTATTAGTCCCCATTTTTGTTCCAATACCTACTTCAGGGAAAAGCCTTTGAAGAATTTTCATGTCACAAATCTTTCTATTATTTGCATTAGTAGATTACTATTTGAAAGTTCTGTGTGCTCACTGATTCTGAAAGACTATGTTTAATGGGTGTAGGACAGTGAGCCTTAATTCTGTCCCAGTTTGTAGAGATGAGAAATATATTACCTGTGATCAAAAAGTTTTACAGTAGTTAAGGAGCAGTACAGATAAGAGTAGTACATGACTCAGAGATTATTTCAAAACTGGTAACCCAAATATTTAATTGAAATTATGCTTTTTCCATCTTTTGCTTTTCTTCTAATAGGTTCAGAATAAAGACAAACAAAAGGCACAAAAACATTTAAATGTGGTTAATGTCTATATATCCTTATAATTTTGATAAACTTTATGTCAATATTACTTCCTCTTGGCATGTAAAAAATACAGAAATTTAAGATTACTAATAATAATTTTAATATTCTGTTGTGCACGACTTTGAATCTCCTGCAGCAAAGAGTATGTTATAGAATCATAGAATCATAGACTAGTTAGGGTTGGAAAGGACCTTAAGATCACCTAGTTCCAGCCCCCTTGCTGTGGGCAGGGACACCTTACGCTAAATCATATCACCCAAGCCCTCGTCCAACCTGGCCTTGAACACTGCCAGGGATGGAGCATTCACAACCTCCCTGGGCAACCTATTCCAGTGCCTCACCACTTTTCCTTCTTTCCTTCTTTTCCTAACAGGAAAGAATTTCTTTCTTATACCCAACCTAAACTTCCCCTGTTTAAGTTTTAACCCGTTACCCCTTGTCCGGTCACTACAGCCTCTAATGAAGAGCCCCTCTCCAGCATCCCTATAGGCCCCCTTCAGATACTGGAAGGCTGCTATGAGGTCTCCACTCAGCCTTCTCTTCTCCAGGCTAAACAGCCCCAGCTTCCTCAGCCTGTCTTCATACGGGAGGTGCTCCAGTCCCCTGATCATCCTCATGGCCCTTCTCTTGACTTGTTCCAACAGTTCCATGTCCTTTTTATGTTAAGGACACCAGAACTGCACACAATACTCCAAGTGAGGTCTCAGAAGAGCAGAGTAGAGGGGAAGGATCACCTCCTTTGACCTGCTGGTCACGCTTCTTTTGATGCAGCCCAGGACACGGTTGGCTTTCTGGGCTGCAAGCACACACTGCCAGCTCATGCACTTTGCGGTACATTATACTGAGTACATGATTCATTTTTCTCTGAATTACTTTGAGAACTTTCCATTCTTCTTTCTATTCCCACATGCATTAGTTTATTTTCTGTGAAAATGATTCTAGTGTTTGCCTTTTCTTCCAGTATACTCTTATGCATGTCACAGGAATACCAAGACCCACCACTACAGATTTGAAAGCATTTGGTTTCTTCTTTCCCCATTTTCAAAAGCTCATGAACATGACTGCCTACTTTAGCATTCCTTTGCTGTTCATGAATAGCTATTCCTTGGTTCTTCAACCAGACTGGTAATTTGACTTTAATAATCATATGACTCCTGTATTCATCTGTTTACCTGACAGAATTTGTCTTAAATTTTTTGAGTGAAAGTATGAGGATTTTTTCTATACAATTTTGGTACTTTGGTTACTTATACCTGTGGGTTTAGGAGTTCGTTTTTTTGGGGGGGCGTCTTGCTATTTTTATTTTTATTTTACTGGATCAAAGCTATCTATCTCTCACTATATGTAATAAGTTAGCCAAATTGTGTTAATTCTGAATGAAAATTGCACAGTAATTGCTCATTCTAGTCAAAGCTCAAGGAGTAATGTCCACTTCCAAGAAGTACAGCAGCAGCTGTATGCTGCTACTTTGAGGGATTATAACATGCATTCAAGAAGGAAATAAAAGTATGTCTTTTGTTTTTAAAGAATGGACTGATAGAACTGGCAAATCCAGAGGAGAAGATACTGGACCCATTCAAATGTATCTATTACTGTATTACTTTGGCATTCAACACATAAATTCTAAAACTAAAAATCAGCAAGACTATAAAAATGCAAAGCATTTTTTTCTTTACAGAAACTCAAAATCCATCTTATGTTCTCCCCATTCGTTATCCTGGTTCACAGCACAAAAGACTCTGGGAAGCGTCCTACACAAAACATGCAAATTAAACTAGCTCATGTGAACATGACTGTTCACATGTATTAGTTGCACTTCATACAGAGTACAGGAGATGAAGAAGCTGAGCACTCATTTCAGTGAGCCAGGCTGGACATGCACTTTTTTTTTTTTTTTTAATGGCCCCATAAAAATGATAGCAGATGATAACTTTAGCAATTAATCTTTTAAATTAGCATTCCCTTCCCTACAAACAGCCTACAAAACAAGTAAACATCAACCTCCCTTTCCTTTCCCTCTCTTTCATTCTCTACCTCCATTTCTCCTTTTTAACTATAACTGTCAGGAACAGCCAATTATGCTGCCACCTCCTCCAAACACGAGAGAGAAAACTACATTACATGAGCGTAGTCTTGTATTTCAAGATTTGTTTACATGCCTGTGTGCGGGCATGAAACTGTCTGTCGAACAGAAAAAAAATCAGCAGGCCCCACAGCAAGTAATTTTTTTCTGAGGGTTTTTGTTCTGAGGGTTTCAGAATTCTACCACTGGCATGAGTTCTAGGGTTGATCACTTAATAACTGAATACATGGTCTGAATATTCTCTCTGAAATTGGAGGATAGGTATAGAAACGATTTTTTCTTCTTACAAGAAGAAAACTAGCAACTGTAATAACTAAGTCCGGTGTTAAATAAAGGATCTAATGATCCATGGATCAGTTTTACAGAGTAATGATAATTCACCGGAAATATTCAGTAGATATAAATAAGTGGAACTTTTATTTTCCTTGGCCCTCCTCCTATGTACGCTGGACATAATTCATAAAATCATCACGTTACAACTTATCACAGGTTAAGTCTTTTCTTTAGGTAGCTGGGCAGTTTATTCTATTATGAAGACCTTTCCAGTATTATAGATAGGCATAAATTACAGATGTACATACAGCCATTTCTCCTACTGAATCAGCTGTTTGGCAAAACTTTTGATCTGTTACTTTAACGTCAAATTTGCTTTTTTTAGCCTGTCACATCACCTTAGTGTTTGTGGATATATCTGACGCTCAAGTGTGCAACTGCAGAAAAAAAAGGCTGCTAGGAAACCTCCCTTTCAAAACCTGTTGCAATCATGCTAATCCAGTAATGAATCTGATAGGAATTGGATTACTTACTTGTTAGCAGGGGCCCTTTTTTTTCCTTCATCCTATTGCTACAATAAAACTGATGATTATTGTTGCTCATTTTGCTCTCGGATTATTTATTTTTACCACATTTAGAATTCGATTTAAACAGTTGCTCCATCAAAAAAATGCCCCATCATGCAATGATTGAACTTGTCATCCATATGACAGAAGACCAGGACAAGAAGTCTTTCTTGTATTATCTAGCGTATTTTTTAATTAATGTGTAGAATCATTTGACTTCACTAACCACTTTTTTCCCTGCTTTCAGCCTGCACTAATTTTGCTCAATTTAACATGTTGCTATTTATTGATGTTTAATTCATAACTCAACTACAAACATTATATATTCAAAGCTTTAACAGCTATAAATGTTATGTATTCAAAGAATTGACTTTTTCTCACAAGATATAAAGTACATGTGTCTTCAATGGATGATGACTGAAGAGCAAAACACATTCCTGATCACAAGGTGAATTAGTAACTGACCTGAAGGGCAATTGAGGGAACTGAGTATTTCATAGCTGGTGATACTGGCACAGGAAGAATGATGGAAGAAGTTCACGCGTATCCTGGATTCCATATAACTTGTTAAAATACCATTGTAACTACTTCTGCAACAGTGTTAACTATCACACAGGACAATGGAACTATCACACTAAAGTATTTTAACTGTTTTATTCTTTTCATCATTTTCTAACTGCATTGGAGAGCAAAATGTCATAACAGTTACATATTGAGTCTGTCTCCAAGACACTGAAAGACCCCTTTGACCATTTATTTTCTTTCAGCAGTCCTCTCTTTCTCCATATGGGGTGAGAAGAAAAAGAAGAGAAAAAGAAAAAAAAAAAAGAGAAAAACTCTGTGGCATTTCTTCTTGCTTCTACTGATTTTTCATGTTGTCATAATATTTATAATGGTACAGCCATTTCTGCCTGAAGCACTGGTACACAAGCGTATTTTCCCTTACCTCCTTTCTTCACTTATCACCAGGTCCCACTCTTGCCATGCTCCCAGTCAGCTATTATAACTACTAAGGAAAGTAAACCATAAGTACAAGTAGTTTTTTTGGCTAACACAGATTGGCCATTGGAGACAGTTATTTCTTCAGACAAAACAGTCAAAAAGAGATACAACAGCCTCATAAAGGGCTTCACAGAAAATTGACTTGAAAATTATTGTGAGTTTAATTGTGCCTTCCATTGGAAAGGCAAACAATATAAACCAGACATTCTTAATAGCTCAGATAGGTTTCTACTTCAGAATCAATGGTAGTAAAATAATTCCTGAGTATTTATCTGAATTACAAGGAAAACAAAGATATATCCTTTAGGTCTTTACCTTTCCCATCACCAAACAATGTAGACCTGGATGATTGGGAGCAAAACCAAGAGTACTGTAACTCTTTTAAAAGAAGGTAATTTTTAGAAACCCAACATATGCCTCTAATGAGAGCATGGCTTCTTATCTACTCTATGAAACTTCAAATCCTTCTTCACAAGAGTGTGTCTGGCAATGTATCTGTGAAGGACTGGCACACATCCCCTCATGTTGTTCACTCTCCCCCTGCTGATGTATCTGCGAAGGATCTAACGTAGCCCTAACTAACAGAACATTTGAGCATTTAAATTTAGCCTTACATCGAGGATAGTACTACTGGCAGTAGACTGAAGTTTAAAGTGCACCTGTTAATGAAGCTCTCATATATAATTTTGCACATAGTGAAATCAAAAGTTGTATTTTCATGTCATTTTTGTATCCCAGATGTAGTTTCTCCCACCTAATCTGTAACAAATTGCTTTCCTATTTCTAAGGCATGTTAGAAATATAGTTTTGAAAGGGCCAAAACACTGTGAGGAAAAAAAAAAAATCATAAAAAGGTAGAAAATGGAGGATTAGCAAAATGCAGCTTCCAGGTATTCATTTCAAGCACAAGCCACTTGCCATTAAACGCTCTTAATTGTAACCTCCTGTTTGTTAGCTTCAGTAACTGACTTAAAGTAAAACGCAACAAAAGCACTGTGCCTTGTGCTATTTCTTTGACACCTAGTGATTTTACAAGCTTAACCTGCCCTCCAAACATAGCCTTGGCAGTAGGCCCATTAAACAATGTGTGTTTTTTAGCAGCAGGTGGCATATCAGTTAAAAGCCCAGCACAGTTCATCAGAACAATGCACCACCTGAGCTGTAATTATACAGTAAGTACCTGGTTGCAACCTCTGTGGGAGAGTCATCAAGACTGGAAAATTCTCAGAAACATTAAATGAAATAAATAAAACTGCAGTATTAATGTTCAAGGCTCATCAACAGGAAAAAATGGAGTAAGAAAATCTTTCAGTTAACAGATTTTTCATATGTGTTGCTATGGGTACAAACACAGAGCAAGTCGAGCTCTATGAGAATAAGGATGGGAAATGCTCAATTAAAGAAGGGGTGGGGAAAACAAACAAAACAAAGCCCCCAGCAATGCAGTCCTGAACTGTATCAATCTTTTTGAGAGTTGGAGGACCCGAGTGGGCACATGGATTCCAGATTACATGTGGGAGGATAGAGAAGAGAATGGTTATCCCAATATGTTCCCTGTTCCCTTAGGCTTGAAATGCTACAACCTTCCTTTTGCATTGGAGGCATCACAGATGCACAGCAAATGTAATTTGCACTACACAGAACAATTAATCATTGTTCTTATAAACAAACAAACAAAAATGGCAAGATATCCATTTCATGTTGCTCCTTTCCTTGTGTAAACTGAAATTTTACAGCTAATTTTTTTAATGACACATCTTTCATACCATGTATAAAGAAGCAAGTTTGTAATAGAAGATACACTCCCCGTTCCTGTTATCAGCAACAGCAAAGTTTCAGAAATGGCTAATGGCTCTCCCAAAGCACCTGTTGTGCCTTTAGGTATAATATGGCAATGGGTTCACAACCAGAGAATTGGGTGATGACATGTACAGCCTGCTGAAATTAACTTTCAAGTAGCAACAGCTGGAAAGTGCTTGCAGTCATGAGTGATGGTGGCAGCTGGGACTGTGAGAAGCTCCTGACAGTCTCAAAATAATTGCTTAAGTATGACTTCTTATGCTACAGGGAATAGTCATAGAGTAATTGTAAGCAACAGATTGTGGTGATCTTGCATCTTGATAATAATTCCAGTTTTACATATTTGTAAGGATCTGAAGTCCTCTATGTATATGTGTCACTGCATCTATAAAAATAAAGACAGACTGATGGGATAATCATCTTTCTGAGTGTATGGTACAGACAGCATGTGGCATTCTCTGTCCATAAACCTCGCTTTCATCCTGAAGTTTGCCCTGATGACTTCCTGTTGCCAAATGCATTTAAATATTCCACAGTTCATTCATTATTGTTGCAGTACTGTGGGATTTCTCCATGCAAAAGTACCTGTTTGTCTAAAATGCAACAAAAGCTTTATTTTTTGCCTTTTAAATTGACCTGAAGCATTTGACTGTTTTCTACTGAATTAATGTCTGAGGTTTTTGTTAAGACTGCAAAATCTCTCTCCCTTGAATGTCATTTGGATTCATCAAAGGCTGCAAGAGTTGCTAAAGCCTCTGACTGTTTCACGCTAGGCATCTCTGATTTTCTCTTATATAGCTGCACACCATTCACTGCAGTGCAGTAAAGCTGCAGTTTCCAGAGTCCAATCCTGCCATTCAACATTCATTGGAAAGATTTACAGCCCCTTTGTGTCACAAGTATCTTTGTTTTAATTCAGTAGCCAAGACTCAAGGTTAAAAAAAAAGAGGCCTTGCTGCTCAAGTAAAACACTGCAATACTCTTCAAAGGAATGTCACAGGAAGAGTACAGAAATTATTAAAAGCACTTGCAGATTAAGCTGCCTTGAGAGTTCTTTCCTTGATATTTACAACACTATTTTAGCAAAATATTGATGTCTTATTTTGTTTCATAACCAGAATTAATTTAAAAATTTTAACCTTATCAAAGCAAAATTTATATCTGTCTTTTCTTCATTCCAGTCAAGCACTTATTATTGTCATTACAGCCCTCAGAGGGAAAATTCTTTCCAGTGTCTGCCTTTGTGTTCGAATTCCTCCCTGAGTCCTCATCCCTGTGAAGGTCGCTAAAAACACCTTCCTTTCTTTTGTAGCTGATAAGTGCTATCTGCCTGACAGCTCCTTCAAGTAGCAGACATGTTGCCTCTGATTTTTCAGTATCTTACTGAACCCTCTTCTTTCTGAGACATGCTTTGTCTTAATAATTGCCCTATTTTTTGAATAAAAAATACAGTGCATTATTATTCTCACTGAGCTACTGAAAGAAAATAGTTTGAGGGAACACACTAATTAAAAATCTATTAAATATGAATAAGCCCCAGTTACCTTCTGTCTTATGCAAGTACTGCTACAAAACTACTGCAAGATTAGGGTTCAAAGCCACCACACTCGGATGCTGACTATTTTAGAGCCATGCTATCAACCAAAAGGAATGCTGGGGGTCAAACTTACCCAGTTTTGGCGAAGTTTGTCCAGTATGTCATAACCACTGCACTGAGCATGACATCATTCTTGGAAAAGTTGCAGTTGAACAGTTCTGTGGGGCCAATCATAGGAATCCCAAACACATAAGGGACTTCATCACCATGAGCTGAATCAGCCCAGCTGGGTTTCATTTCACTTTGGCAATGGTGGTAAAACGCATAGAAATATGTTGGAGACCCATACTGGGCATGCAGGTCAGCAGTAGCAACAGCTGGAGCAACCCACTGGTGGTCTGTAAAAAGAGCAACCAGGGTCTTCCGTCTTGTTTCGGGGTTTTCTTTGTCTGCCCAGTCAGTGTACATGAATTTAATGGTCTCTCGCAGTGTATCTTTCCCTTCTGGATAACCATATAGATTGTCCACAAAATTGGAGACAGAAAAGTCAAAGTCATTGGGGGAAACACCATCTTCATTGTCTACAATACCATCCACAAATTTTAGACCTTCCCCTTGGTTCACGCCCAACATTATATCATAGTTCAGGAATTCCCCTTGCTCCATGAGAATCTGAGGGTCATCTGGAATCACGTCTCCATCTATCACAGGCCCAAAGGCAATGTGGTATGTGGCTGGAGTGATGGTCTGTTGAATGAGTTCTTTGTAATTCTTATTCCGAAGACATTCAACCAAATCAGTGGTATCCAGCATGTCACAGCCCACTTTATCTGCCAATATCCGAGTGTACTTGGCAGGCTGATAGTTCACTGCCCAGCTGGACAAGGCTGTGCCGCTCTGTATGATTGCCTTTTGGAATAAGCCTGTGGGTGCAAATTGTTTAAATGCAAATCCAATTATATATATATATAATATATTTAATTATATATATATAATTAAAAGCAGCTTTCACAAAGCAAAGAAAGTTTTGTTTGAACAATCACTAAAGGATGCATATACCTAAATTTCAATTAAATTTCCATATATTCTACTCACTGCTACCTTTTTATAGTATCTCTAAGAGCCTACTAAGTAAAGTATCTCTTGTTCTTGATGCTCACACACAAAAAGCATGATGGTTTCAGGTTACTGTTTCAAGAACAAAATCATGCTTGTTCTGCAGTTTTCTTGCATCTTTAATGGAAGTCCCCTGGCTTTAGCACAGTGGTAGTCCTGTAAAAAATTCTTTAAAGGAGTGGCAGCTACAAGCAATCATATCCTTTTTGCCATGTAAATGACTCTCATAAATGCTCTCTTCAGTAAAGGTCAAATGAAAATTACACACTCTCATTTCCTTCATAGAAGCCACGTATCACATAATTTGAAAAAAAATCTGCTCTGCTACAATCAATTTAATAGGCTTGAGTCTTCTATTCTGACGTATTTTTTTCTTTATTATTTCAGTTTGTGTGTGTGTGTCAGCATTGCCTATATGCTGAATTAAAATGTATTTACTTTTTTTTGGAAGTGTGTAGGATGAGATTCAATAGTTCTTTTTTTTTATATATGTACTAATATAAGGAGAGACAAAAGACTGAGTCTGAAGAGCTTTGTGTCAGAGCACTGAAAAGCTTACTGATGAATCTGCTTCATCTATTTTTTCATGGTCAGATCACTAATATGGCCTATTTTATACTTAAGTTGAAATGCCCGGGCCTCTTCTGCACATGGTTTATACTGTCCAGTTTTGTCTTTTTTTGAGGGAGGGGGAAAGGAGTGGGCGAGTAGAAGGGTAAGGTATTGAGGATAGAAATCACACACCTCACTTATGAAAGCCTTAAGAACTCTGTATGCGATCACACAGTCCTTGTGGGAAGTTAAATACATTTTTAATCAGGTTATGTTATTATTAAGGAAGAAAAGCATGTAAATACATGTTATAAATGCAGACAAGAGTGTGTAAAAAATGAAAAAGGTCACTTCCCTTTTCTATTTTAATTAAGGCAAATTCTTTGATAGAAGAGCCATTGGAGTCTGCTGATAAAGCTAAAAAAAGAATACTGCCCATAGCATTTATTGCATGAAATTTCTGCTATAATAGCATCTAATTTTTCACATAATAATATTTATGTTGACTAATACAAATCCAGAATATTAGCTAGCAGGTATTCTACAAAAAATACAGACCTCATATGATTCTAATTCAGCCTACCTGTTATGGCTGTTTTTGTTATACTGTAATGTAAAGGAAAAAAAATAAAGGATAAAAAGTACTTTGCTTGGAGAATTGTTACCTTCTGAATAGTGAGAGAGTGTCAGGAGACTGACACATGAAGCTCCTGCCCCAGATCCAAAAATAGTAACTCTTTTCGGGTCTCCTCCGAAAGATCCAATATTTTCTTCAATCCAACGTAAAGCTTGGATTTGGTCAAGCAATCCATAATTGCCTTTTGCAGCTTGGTCCCCAGTACTTAAAAACCCTATAAGGCAAAAAACAACAACAAAAAAAAAAAAGGATAATTTTAGCTCACCAGATACAGAGTCAGGTACAGGGTATCCACATATTCACAACACTTCTTCCCATCTTTTCATTTTGTGGGCTTTTTCTTCTTTTTTTTTAAAGGTCACAGTCTTTAGTTAAATGTCTCCAGTGAAGGCATGAAGGCAATGGAGCTCATTCTGTATGCTGTTTGTCTTTAGTTTGTTTTTCCTTACTGCAGAGGCCACATTTGGGAAAAATAATTATTTCCAGTTGGAAATAATTCTGTATCAATACAACAGGACAGACTGAAGATTTTATACATTTGATAACTGTATGTAAGGTGAAAAAAACTTAGGAGATAATTTCTTTGCAAAGAAGCATTATCTCCAGTTTTTTATTGAAGAACAAGGCTCCATAACACATTAATTTAAATGCTTCTTACTATGGACCAAAATGGTTCTGAACTACATAGCTCTTTAAATTATTGTACTTGTGAAATGGATACACACACTCGCAAACAGAAAAAGAAGCATAAAGAAAATTGTAAATGGAGAAGGAAAAACCCTAGAAAAAATACACTCCAATTTCACAGAGGATATTTATTAGGAAGATACCAGGTAAATCCTTGGCAATTCAGCCTTTAGTAGGGAGATTTTATCTGAACAAATCAGATTTTCTCTCTTTCCTTGGAAATTGCAGGGAGAGCTGCACTGCTGATTTTTATTCCTGTAATGCGGTTATCAGGTTTTAGAAATAAAGCATGACACATTTGCTGCTTATCTTACAACTGAGAAGAAAATGACCAAAAAGGTAGGACTAGGATTCATTTTGTTTTTCTGAAACCACACAAGGTGAAACACTGCAGTTATCCACGCTGCCTATCATTCACAGTTAAGATCTTGAACTATGCCCAAATTAACACATTAAGCCAGCGACTCACTTTTTAACTCCTACAGACCTTACCCTGTCAGACAACTAGAAGTCAGAAGTCTATTAGAATTTACCTTAAAACATACAAAGTTTTCAAATGGACATTAGTGATTTAGGCACTGCTGACAGCTGCTTACCAAGACAAAACTTGCCTGGTGTTTCCAAGCTAATTATCAGTTCAGACAAATTTGCCAGAAGAGGGCCCCAGGACTCTCAAGGTCTGCAGTCCTGGAGCAGTTAGAGTCTGCAATCTTGAGCCACCTTAGGCTGCTGTGACAAAACCTTCATATGTTTAGGGAAGCCTACAGTGGAAGCCTGAGGTCCTTAGAGAAAAAAAAAATGCCTTGCAGTACATTTCACCTGCTTTGGCAGAGGGGAATCTCTCTTTGCATTGGCTGCAAGTATTTTTTCAGTGATAGGAAGAATGAAAATTCACTAGGTGGAAGGGATTCACAATATAGAGGAAGTGGAAGAAGAGGAAAGGCATGGGAAAAGAAGAAGAAATTAGATGTCGCACATTTCCACCTGTCGGACTTTTACCATAATGTTTTCTGTAGTGAAATTCCTACAATAAGACACAAAATCCAGCCACAAAGTTTAAAAGCAAGATCATATAAGCCCTAAGTTCTAAATATGGAATGCTATATGGCCTGCATTATGGTGGCATAAATTTCCGCATGCAAGGTCAAGCCTGATTGAATGTAATCCATTATCCTGCACCCAAAAAAACCTTTTTCATATTTAATTAGTACTTATCGGTATTTAATGTCAGCAAGTATCATATCTGATGAGTCCTTGCATTTTTTACAAAATGGTTGCTACAACTGCAGTAATAACAATCATATCCTTATTGTTAAATAGCATTTAATATGGATTTCTCATTAAAAATGTCTCTAATAATGGCAAGCACGCTGGTTAGAATAGCAGTAACATCTTTTTTTCTCTTCCATTCTATTGGAGAAAAACACAAACAAACTATTAATCCATAACTGCCTTATTTTTTTGACAAATGTACTTTTCTCTTTTTCACATGCCTTTATTATCCTTTTAGGATTGTCAATGAAAGAATTTCACTTGCTGAATTTGTTGCTGCGTCTCACTGCAATATTTCATAATATTCTATAATTAAGCCTTTATTCAATCAGAACTATGACCTCCCTGGGAGAAAGTGACTGTTGTAACCTTTAAAGCAGCATGGTAATCAGTATTCAAAGCCTAAACACATTTTAGCTCTTCTAGCAGCATCAGGCTAAAGCTGGTTGATCTTTGTGATTTTGAATTCTTTTCAAATGTACTAAAAGGTGACCGAGTAAAACTCCAGTCAATGAATATCTGATGTTAGACAAATGAAGATTTTTTGTTTCCAAGTTCTCTGATGATTCTCATTAATTGCAAGAACAATTTTTCTTGATTTAAAAAGTAATCATCATGGCAAAGTGTCAGCCCCACATGACGCAAACTGAATTAATAAATCTGTCTCTTCTTGATGAGGATACATTTTCTTTCATGTTCTGAATACCAGATCAAAATATTTCTTCAAAGCTATCTCAAGAAATTCAGGCAAAGAAAAAAATCTGTCCAGAAATACACAAGACTTAAGATTTACCTTTTTTTTTTCTGTGACCACTGTGAATATTTTGAAACAGGATCTTCATGTGTGACTCTAAAATCCTGAACAAAGAATGCAGCTTTTTTTCTGAGATGGGGATTTACACTCTGTGCCTTTTATGTATTTTTTTTTTAACTGCAGTTAATATGTTTCCTGTTGTACGATTTGGTGTGATTTGAAGGGCATTCTGTGATCTGAAAATTAGATTAGGGTTTTGCTAGAACCTGAAAGTTCTTCTCACTAGCCTAATGCAACAAAGAATGGCAATATCATAACATGGAAAACAAACGAGATCTGTTTTGTTTTGTTTTTCCACATAATGACACAGAAAGGTACTAACAGTAACATTCAGTTCTTGACTTCAGAAGCCTGTCTTCCCTTACACAGTGAAATGGAAGGGTCATCACGTGGTTCTTCCACTGGAAAATTACTTGGACAGCAACAACTGAAAAAGATGAATGTGAGGGCATCCTACATATGTTGAGTGAAATACACCAAATTGCCTTACCTGATGAGCTTACCTGATGCTGGAGCAGCCATGCCACAAGAGGGTCATGCTTTTATACCCTTATCAAAACAACTGGCTTTATGCCAGATCTCTAATTGTTTACTCCTGGGACTGTGCAGTTTCTCATGATCTCACTGTTGTCTGCTCTGAGAGCATTGGCCAGGTGCCCCCAGTGCAGCCAAGTATGACGTTCACAGAACAGCTGCACACCTATGTTTTCCTGTCTTTTTCTGACAGATAGTCACAACTAACATAAACGTATTTACTCTACTGAATATGCTATGACAAACATACTTTGTTATGTCTCTCAGTCATAACAGGCAATCAGCTCTCAGCTAGGTTCCCAACCATTACAGTCTGTGGTTAGAACTTCTTACAGTTAGTTATAGAAGGGTGTTGAGAAACTTGCAACTCTTTACTAATCTTCCTTAAGTGTCAAGGATTGTAGTTTATCTTTTATAATGCTGATATTCACTGGCTGCTGGTTAGTTATGTGTCATTAATAAATGAATAATCTGATTTGATTTAAACCACATGAATTGAGCAGCTTTTCCCTTATGACAGTTTATTCTTGAAAAATAAATTAACAATGCATTATTTTAGAAGAGGAGGCACAAAGAATTATTTTTTGCTGTGTTACTTGTAATAATCTTGTATCTAATATTTTCTACATTCTTTCATGTAGAGAAGAGAAATGCTTTTTTAAATTGAGGTTTCTGAAGTAACAGTTCTATGCATATTTCTCTGATTCTATTAAGGGACACAGTCTAGATTAATGCTTTAGTTTGAATCTACTAGGTTAGCTACAGTCAAGGAGGAAGAAGACTATACATGGAAATAATGGGGAATTTTCCTTTCCCACAGCCTTTAAAAATGGACTCATAAACTACATGCTCTCGCTTGCACTGTTTTAATAATGCAGTGAAGACACAAAACTACACGCAGAACTCTTTTAAATCCCACTTAAACAAGAGGAAATCCCTAGGTCTATCTTCAATGTTGGTTTTGCTACTACACTGCAAAAATCTTACCAAGAGAATAAACACCAAGAAACCAGTGGTGATATATCCCCCTTAATTACTAAAAAGTTATGTGAGAACCCACAGCGACAAATAGCAGATGCTAATATCTATGAAATCCACCCAGTTTACTTCTGCCTATATACAGCCTTCCCCCGAGGCCAGAGGCCATCCATTCGTTAGCACGCCATGCAGACCTACAAGTGTTGAGTCTAGAGTCTCGAACAGAATAGCTGGACTTCGTGTCTACACTGTACACTTTTTATGTACTGTTTTTACTATGGACCGACTCTTGTCTGGTCCCAGGGGATGAATGAATGACCACTGGTGGATATAGAGAGTAAAGGGTCACCTGGAAGGGTCCAGGCTGTACTTTACAGAACGTTTCAGCAATGTGAAGCAATGTGAATAATGTTCAAGGAGGTGATAAGAATAATGGGGGTTTCTGTGGAAACCCTTTACTGGAATTAAAAATGCTAGTGTGGACATGCTCAGGATCAAAATCATATTCTTCCAACCGTGGAATTTCAATTTGCAAAGAGGAGGCTCAGATGCAGCTGCATCTCAGCTGTGGACATATTCCAGACATCCAAATAACTCAGTAGGCTGCTTAACAACTATAATGCATTAAACTTGTAATAAATACGATATTGGATTATAATCTATCCTAATACTTAAGACAAAAGTATTTTCAACTGAAAGCTATATGATGATTTATGTGCATTGAATAGTTAGTTTGAGGAGAATAGCATGAGTATGTCAAGAAACAACATCAATCACAACTAACATATTTGAGCTCCAGATCAGAGGAGACATGTAAGGATGTACGGATCACAACTTTAGACACCTAAAAAACCTGTGTCTAATCTATTACCTTTGTACTAACTTGACAGCTACTGTGGAGAGATAAAAAAATCCCTCTAAAAGTAGCT